AAAATATTTTTAATTAAATAGGCTTATATTAATCATCAATTAAATTCGATAATTAATTGAAAATATAATTAATTACTCACAATTCTGTTCGTGGTTTATAACTGTTTAAAACTGTGATATCGGGCTCGGGCTCGAAATTCACGTCGGTGCTCTTTGTAGTTTGCTACTTCAAAGTAAGGTGAACGACCGCGCGGCTGTAGCAAGCAAGGGGGGGGGGAGCAGCGGCTTGCTTATCTGGGCCGCGGAGGGGGGGAGGGGGGAGCGCAAGCCCGGCCGCGGCCTACTTTCACTTAGTACGCAAGGTGACTCGCGCATGTAATTATCGCATTCCTCAGTCCGCGTCGTGTATCGCGCTCGCTGTAGCGATTACGTCGCGTGATCTAAAACACGGATCGATATAATCGTCAATAACTCCACTTGTAAACGTCGTAACGACTTGAAACATGGACCACTGCAAAGAGAAAATTACCGCGTTCTCGACGAACGTGAAATCGTCTTCGTACGGCATAAGGATCAAATAGCGTAATTGTGTAAGTACATCAGCTTTTACGCTCGCGTTTTAATATTCTCGATGATATTATATTAAAAGTCGAAATAAATTGTTTATACACCAGAACATATATGATGCGTGGCTACTCTCGCACTAACATTCTCGCAAATATAATGATTAGATCGGAAAAACGTTTATTAATTAACACGATGTCAACGACAGCCGGATTAAATGTTTCGAGACCCGGCGAGATATTTTAATTAATCTATGGGAAAAAGAGGTCGTGTGTGATACTCGGGAATGTACGCGACGCACGAAGGTAAATATGACTGCCTTGAAGGTTCCGATTTTTTGGAAGTGTTGATTATGGTTAATTTTTAACAATCGTTCAGTGGCAGATCACGACAGTTGGCGATCGTGGAATGATGTAATACTTTCTGCTCATTGTCTTGATATTCTTTCGCTATTGAGTCATTACGTTTTGAGCCGCTATTTTCATTTTCGTTGATTTTCATAACATTTAATCGGCCTCTCTCCTCTCTCATCAGCACATCGCGTATATTAACATGTGCTTCTCCGATCGAGTCGTCGTACACGGAAAAAAAAGTTAGCAATATGGCAGCAAAAAGTATGTAATAGCAAATTTTTGCTAAACATACACTGAGAAACAATATTTGAAAATTTATTTGTGAGATATGAAATTTACTTCTGTGAAATACACTTTCAAATATTTTTTTCTACCGACGTTTATTTGTGAGATATATATATATATATATATATATATATATATATATATATATATATATATAGAAAGTTTATTTCTGTGAAATATACTTTATATCTCACAAATGAATTTTCAAATATTTTCTCTCAATATATGAATACATAAAAATATACAATAAAAAAAAATACTTGAAAATGTATTTGTAAATGAACTTTATATCCCACAAAAAAAATTTTCGGTATTTCTTCTCTGTGTAGCTACCTGTAGGCATATATTTAAGCTATGAAATTGATATGATAGATTGACAAATATGTTTTCAGCAAACCATGATCGGCTGCGGCAGTGAAATCTTTTTTCTCATCTAAGTCAGTGCCAGTGTTAGTGACACGACGGAGCAGCTGGGAGTCAGGATGCTGAATCGCGAAGTCAGGACGCGACGCGTCGTGCATATCTAGGTGAGTCGAATCATTTTTATCATGCAGGAAATTTCAAATCAATCTGTTAATAGTATAATCACGCATTCAATCACGTCGCAATGATGATCGAGCCGTTATTTCATAAATGAAAGAACGTTAGGATCGCTCGCGATATCCCGTGTGCGCTCGTCGGCAGCGACGCGCGTACGTAGGGGAGCAATTAAGCTTTCGGCGAATCAATAGCGCGCGGCCAATGGTTTTGGGCGCGGGAGCGAGCGCGACTCGAATTTGACGCCTCGCGGACTCCCGATTTATTTACGAAGAGAAGGAAAATGTAAAATCAGGGATTCCGACAGATGGCTCGAATCTCAGACCCCGGGCCGTGAATACGTGGGCGGCGCGGGGAGGGTGAGCGCTTCCGACCTCACGATTTTACGCCCCCGGGGCGTACCGCCGATGGAAAAGTTGCGCTCCGAGTACTCCACTTTGTTTTTTTGGCCCGAGAATCGTAGCAGCTCGAAATTTCCGAAACACCCCGGCGGCCCGCCGCCGTCCGTCGTAACATGCTTCTCGCGTTTGCCGTGCAACCTACACGAGCGTCACTTATCTGTTTATTAACCGTTTCGCACTCGGCGCGCTTGCGTTACGTTTCACCATCGCACCTCGCAAGAATCGCTCAAACCTTTAACCGTTAATATAATATGTGTGTGTGTGTATGTATATATATATATATATATATATATATATATATATATATATATACACATCATACACACACACATATAAATTAAATGCGAGCAGAGCGAGAGCGGATTTTTCTTACCATGTGCATGACGCGCGAGATAAGATAAAATTGTGAAAAAATTGACGGACAACTTTGCACCGCTCACTGCGCGCAGATTATAGTTTTTACCCGCGACATTTGAGCCGCGAGAGGCAAATAATGATAGAGATCATGAGTAATAAAATTAATAATGTGACGAAAGAGTAAAGTAATAATGATATCATCGAAGTTAAGCGCTCGAGAGATCCTCGTCTCGAGAACTGACGTGTATTAATATCGTCTAAGCATACACGAGAGAACGAGAGAGAGAGAGAGAGAGAGAGAGAGAGAGAGAGAGAGAGAGAGAGAGAGAGAGAGAGAAAAAGAGAGAATACAATCGGCCAGGAGTGACGTAAGTTTCGAGCATTAAATTGACGGTGGAATCGCTGTGAATGCGAAACAGGACTTTCCAACGGCCGCGTGCCGCGCTCGCGGAATCTTTCTTCATTTAACGCACAGAAAGGTACTCAATTACCAGCAAAGTTTTACAAATCCACTCGACCGAAGACAAAGGACGGCACTCTCCGCCGCTCTTGCCAACGTATTTATCCGGAATTAAAAGGAAAGCGTTTTTCTTACGCTCCCGCAGTTTAAAACTTTTTCCTTTAAAGCCGCGCTCGCGCTTCACCTCGCCTCGCCTCGTTTCCAGCCCCTCGCCTAGTTTCGTCTCGTCTCGCCGAGAAATAAACGTCCGCGAGTCGTCGGGGGAAAAATACCGGTTATCCGAGCTTTGAGAAAGTTCGCTATGAGTACGATGAAAAGCGTTGTTTTGTGCGTTCTAATGGTTGGGATTAAATCGTGTAACTTGCTGAGCGGGACGTATAAGCCGACCGCGGCGCGAAAGTCGCCCGGACACAGTCATGGGCGTGAGAGAGCACGGATCTTTTGCGGAATTCGATAAACGAAATTAGCGAGCGATCTCTCGCGCGCACAGCCGGGACTTTATATCATTACATTACGCCGCGCACTCACCATGTTTATCGAATGCTCTTGCCCATTATCGCGATGTCGTGACACGTAATAATTTCAGTGTTTAGGATAGCCGTTGTGGATATTAATAAAATGGTAATACACAGTTCCGCGGGACTGGTTTGGCGGACTTAACGATAAATCGAAAGAGGCCGGCACTTATTTGGGATTAGCGCTGCCCCGATCTCGGATACGAGATACCCACATTGAATACTAGTTACCGGGTATTAAGCGCAAATAAAATGCGAACGAGCGAGCGGGCGAGCGAGCGCTTGCAGATGCTAGTCTGCGAAATTATAATTGAAACGGAGTCGCGCTCTTATGCCAATACGATCGAGCTATCATTACGTAATTCGCATGCGCGTAATAGCTTCTATGGGCAGAGACTGTCAATCATAAGCGGCTATTTTAATGAGATATCTCTTTCATAGTGAATGACGTCCACGAGAGAAAGCGAACGGCCCCGGCGGGACTTTTCAGATTCGTGAGTGATTTTTGCGCGATCGCGCAAATGTGTGCTCCCTCCTCCGATGCCGATTCGAATTTCTTTCGTTGTGACGGACATATAACATAGTATTACCGTGGTCGAGGCGTGTTTAACGGGTGTCGAATAATCGATCGGCACGCGATACAGACCGGGGAGAGGGGCGGAGGGGCGGAGGGGAGGCGCAGTGCAGATTTCGATTTATGACGAAAATTGGCAGCGCCGTCAACCACGATCCAGACCAACCGGCGATCCGGTCGAACCGTCAATTTCAATCACGACAAATCTAATTGTGAGATCGTGAGCGGAGTTTCGATTGTAACGCCTTAGGCCATACTTGATCCCTTTTTTTTTATAAAGCATAATGAAACGGTATCTACGTGTAAAGTAACACCGCGGAGATTGTAATTATGGGATTTCTTGAAATTCCACTCGAAAAGCAGAGTGACAGTCGAGTCGTTTGAATTCGAGTGATTTTCCACTCATATTGAACGAATTAAAAGAATCTATTTTACTTTTTAAGGCTTTCTTATTAATAATTATTACTTTGTCTTAAGTGAGATGCTCAGATTTAAGTTTAGAGTTGAGTAAGAATTTCTCAATTAAATCGCTTATAAATGTCATATATATCATAATTTACCTGAGAGACTTGAGTCTGACTTTGAATACAGAGGTAATCACATCTCACATGAGGCAAGTTTCAAGTGACAACTATTAATGCGGGCCCAAAAATCTTTCACCCAAAATGCATTTCACTCAAAATGTGTGAAGTTCGAAGCGATAGCGAAAATACTGCTACTCGATATAGCAAGGGTGAATACTCGAGTTTAGAATTAATTCTGATTTCTGACACGAGCCAATGTTTCAATCGATTAAATATGTTTCTTGTATGATTGGTGAAATGTAGCGGATTTTCTCCTCAATTTCTACTGCAAATATTTACTTGACGATTCAGAGTGAAGAATTCATTACATACAAATATAAAGCTACTCGAGTTCGAGTGACTCGCTCTGCTTCCCGAGTGAAATTTCACTTAGAGAGCAAATTTCAATGAAACATGCACTCTTGTGATTCTAAGCAGCAGTTTTAATTACCTCTTTGAGTGGATTTTCATTCGTTTTGAGTGAGATTTCACTTCAAGAAATCTAGAAAGTATCTAACTTTCCAACCCTCTTCAACTTGCCATCTCTCGTGCTTGTCTATAGTAAGAAAAAAGAGAACTGTAAGCGTAAAGGCTCGTCTACAATACGTGCAGTAAGCTTGGCGTGAGTTGGAGTAAACCCGAGGCGAAATTTTGGCTTTATGTTAAACCTTGAATTCAGTCCCTGCAGTAAGAGCTAAGTTAGCAAAGCAGGTTTAATTCTAATACAACACAATTTACTCCTACTTTGACTCTGATGATGTCCGAAATTTTCCTTTTTATTTTCTTCAGCGTCAAAATAGAGATTGAATGAAATAGTGAGACTGAAAGTAGGATCAAAATTTTGACTCGAGAAGAAATAAAAATAATTTATTTCTTTTATGTTTCCTTCTCTCATAATTTAGTTCCCTTACATCGCAAATATTCGTCTTAAACCTCTAGAACCTTAAAATAAAAGATAAAATTTATTCGGACCAACCTTCTAATGGTTCTAAAAAATATATGTTTTGTTTGTTCATTATTACTTTTCTCAATTTCATTAAATCGCAAAAATATTAATAAATTCATATTCCTCAATGTTTTCTGTATAAAAAAAAAACATTAAATTTTGATCATTCTTACGAAAGAGCAAATGAAAATATGTTGGATAAAACTTAGCATTTATGTAAATTTTGATGTTTAGGGTTAAGTAAATACTTGCAGTGTGAAGAAACTAGAGTATGGGCGTAAGAGTGAAATAAATAATTTTCATTTCTTACGCCAAGCTCACTGCACGTATTGTAGACGAGTCTTAACGAAGCTCCCATGAAGTGGCAAATGGAGTAACGGCGGTTCGTGCTTCCCTCAATCGTCGAACCGCGTCGGGAACGCTCGTGCTTCCTTAACTAACGTATCGCGCGGGTGCGGCTGGTGGTAAACTCTCTACGACGCGCACGTAGAACACGCGGGCGGGCGGGGGCGGGTATAAACAATGCAAGTATCTAGCGACGAACGCGCGCGCGGGGATAGGCGAGGGTGGGTTCGAGCACTTGGCACGTAGGGCTCCCCGCGAGCCGACGTCCAATTACCAGTTGGGCGCGTATCTTCATGGGGGGTCTCATACGCAATTGTTGTATTTCGCTATTGTTCCGCGGCGTGATTGGTGCCATTGTTTTTAGTCCTTGTAATTATTAGCGAGAGAGGAAGAGAGAAAGAGAGAGCAGCCGGGAAGGCACGCATCCAATTGCGGCAGATCTGCCAGGCTCCCCGCGCGATCGTGGTCCGCTCATCGACGTTATTATTGTTTGACGAGTGGCGGTGTGAAAATCGCGGGCAGGATCGCGGAGGACTGTTTGATATCGTGCGAGATGGAAAAAATCGTCGATTCAGTGTCAGGTTTGCGAAACACCGGACGTCTGAGTCGAAAATGAGTAATCGACATTTATGAAAAGCGAGCCACGGAGTAAATGAAATCCTGTATTGACCAAATGTGTTATTGCTTTCGATCCTTTGAAATCTAGAAAGATACATTGACCGTGAGGCGTGTATATACATTTGCCGCGCATTACTTGATTCGACTCGTCAACGATTCGACCGCCGACGCGCTTTGTGTCGCGAGAGTGTGTCTTTTGTATTTTCTTGAAGTAGGAAAACGCACGAGGAAATATATTTAGCGCGAACTTTCCAGCAGCCATAATCCTTCCTTGCTCTTTTCTCTTCTGGATCGACGTCCCTCATTCCCGTTTTATTCAGCAAATAAAGTGAAGACGTTCTGGCGACTTGTTCACGATGCAATCGTACGTAACCGAAATTCTGCGGCGCGACACTCACTCCGTATCACATTTCCTTCTCGCCCGAGGCGCTATAGTGTATTATACGTCCACGTAGAATAAAGATCCTTTGACAAAATTCTCCCGAGGGACCCTCTTTAGGGACGGCTATACGGCCACCAGGAAATGACTGAACCGCGTTAGGATATTAAGTTATGTTAAAGGCGTCCTCCCTCTGAGAAAAATGTGTGTAGGTCCTCGTGGACCTACGATCGAGGGAATCCTGCTGGCTCAGGGCGATTGCAACTGGATCTCTGTGCCGTCTCGATATTACACCGAATTTCACTTCTCCTTCCGCCGCCTCTATCTCGCGTCGTAGTAAAGAAAGTGTCCGAGAAGTATGGAATAAGATCGCAGAACGCGGTTATATTTCCCTCATCTATCCTACGTCTCTAACCAGCGCAACTGAATATAATTATATCCGAGTGTCCGAGGCGTCGCTAGGTCGGCCGTCAGGCTTATATTTCACTGGTATGGCCGGGTAATCGACGGGAGTGGTGTGCAAAAAGGCGAGAAACATCAATGATAAAGATACGAGAGAGTTAACCGTAACCGTCGATTCCTCGGGGACCGGTCGTTGGCTCTAACCAATGAAGACATAAACCCATGTCCACGCGTAATTTAAAGTTCTTAAGTCCCAGTAGGTGGTTGGCCACCACCTGGGGCTCGAGACACCTTATCGCGCCCACGGCTATACTACACCCCTCTCCTCTCTTCCGCTCTTCTCTCTTACTGCGGCCAGTCGAAATCTCAGCGGTGGTGCACGTACATACGACCAACGCGCTACCTCGATATTCGCTTAATATCGCGCGTACCGTTCAATTGCTATTCCGCGATATCGTCGCTCGACACGGTACTTGTACTCGCCGCTGAAGGCACCCTGAGACGCTCCGCGTGTGCTGCTGGCTGCTTCTGACTCGCCGGGACTTACTCGGCATCCTCGACTCATTAACATTCGAGATCGTCCAGTTCTGTTTTGCGAGACTAGAACATTGTACGCGCGCGGTGTTCTCTTGTTTTGCTTGTGCTTTTATACCTCCGGCCAGGTTCCTGCATTCATTTCACGCACGCTCACGGAACGACGTTCCTTCCTCGCGAGCTGCCGTGCTCCGGGATCGTACCGCGTGCATTAGCCAACACGCGCGGACATCGTCCAAAGGAGGGAAAGAAGCTCCTCTCGAGGCGGCTTTCGTGATAGGACAACGTTTGCGCCGCAGGCTCAGGCATGGCCCGATGCGAGAGCGGTCAACCGGGGCCCGATGCCGCGCTCGGCCGACATCCGACCTGACGCCGGTGTATACGTCGCGGCCATTACTTTCAATTTATGTTCCTTGCGATCCTTAAATCGGCAAACTTTCGGGGACCGCCTGCGGAGCTCTCCGAAGCGCCGCTAAGATATACTGGGTGTCTCGGGTATTCGCGGTGCAGTCTCTTCCATTTAAGAAATTTTTCAACAATTTGATATCTCAGGAAGTAGAGGAAGTTTCTCCGGCACACGTAATAGCACGCGTAATAGTCTCATCATTTTCTCTTTCGTATTTTTGCGAGTCAAGCGCGCGGGGACGTCACGTCGAAGCAGAGTAAGCTTTCCTTCTGATTCGCGACTAACGACGATACGACTGTAATACTCTCGGTACTCTTCAGCAGGGTGAACCCCTGTTCGAAAAGTTGAGGCGACTCCGAGAGATAGAGTCGCTTCAACCAGTTGGCAGCGGCCGCCGATAGAGACCCGGCCAGAATAAGAGAGTTGTCTCTCACAATGCGGTCCCTTTCCAACCTGATGGATCGAAGTGAATTTTGAAAATGTATGCGCACACGGCCAGATTCACAAGGAGGGCTGTAAACCCCGCCTTAGGCCAAGCTCTCGGGTGGGTCCCTTACATTCAACGCTGAATTTCACCCTATACACCCCGCAGACGTAGAGAGGGGGACAGAGAGAGAGAGAGAGAGAGAGAGAGAGAGAGAGAGAGAGAGAGAAAGAGAGAGAGAGAGAGAGAGAGAGCACCCTTCCGTACACCTCGCTTCGCCGTTTTCCTCCCTTGTTACCTCCCTCCCTCCCTCCTTCCATCCTGTCTATGCTGCTACCCTGCTGTTCCTGCGATCGCCGTGTGTGCACGTACGAGTTTCATGCCAAGGCAGTGACCCACGAAGCAACATATTGGCGTTGTTTGAAGAACGCGAATTGCTAGGCGCGCCGCTAGGGTTGTTCCCGTGACACACGAACGTCAGTCGATCGATTTTGCGGCCGCGCGATCTGCCGCAAACGGCCGTAAATAATAGCCCGCACGACTCTCCTTCGCGTATGCGAAGGAAACGTCGCGTATGCGTAACAGCAATCACGGCTGGCGTTGTTCGCGCTCTATCTCCAGGTTGAGGAACGCGTCGAAGAGGGAGAGACTCTCCGAAAGATGTTCCATTTAATCATACGCAGTGATCTCTCTCGGTTGCGGCCATTAGGAAGCAGAAAGAGGCCCCTCTCAGTTTACGATTATTCAAATCGTCTCGCATTCTGCCGCTGCGAGGTAGTGCTCGGCACCGCGGCCGGGCACATCGACGGCTGCTTCTCTCTCTCTCTCTCTCTCTCTCTCTTTCTCTCTCGCTCCTTGCCGGCGCGCGATCGCGAAGCCTCGAATTTATCCGCCCCCGCCGGTGGTATTCGCCGTCCCGCCCGCCTCCGCGGAATTCTTTGATAATTGAGGTCTAGCCGGCGCATAAGGAGGGATATTTGTTCTCTCCACTTAAAATCGAACCGCCTTACATTCCCATATTACGCGGTTTCGTGCCGCTTTTCGCGTCCCGCATGCCCCGCTTCGGAATGCCGTAGCGTGTGCGCGCCGCCCACGCTGCATCGCGCGCACGCACATGTACACGCTCCCGCACGCCAAAGCGGCACACACGCGCGAGGATATGACGATAGAGAG